TATAATAAGCTGTGACAGGTCAGTCCATATAACAAGCTGTGATAGGTCAGTCCATATAACAAGCTGTGATAGACCAGTCCATATAACAAGCTGTGATAGGTCAGTCCATATAACAAGCTGTGATAGGCCAGTCCATATAACAAGCTGTGATAGGTCAGTCCATATAACAAGCTGTGATAGGTCAGTCCATATAACAAGCTGTGATAGGTCTGTCCATATAATAAGCTGTGATAGGTCAGTCCATATAACAAGCTGTGATAGGTCAGTCCATATAACAAGCTGTGATATATCTGTCCATATAATAAGCTGTGATAGGTCAGTCCATATAACAAGCTGTATAGTAAGTCTAAAGTCTTAGTAACACAAACTGACAATAAATCATTAAACTGATTCTGTACTTGTATATGGTCATTAATCAATACATGCTGACAAATATATGTATAATGATTATAAAAAAGTTTCAAACAAAATAATCAATACTTTGGAATGTTATCGGTTACCCACAAATGAAAGAACACTGTGAAATATCATTTGTGTTGACATTATTATCGTTTGATCTTTGACCTCAAATAGACTGACTTATGTCGGTAAGTTGATTGGTTTCACTCTTCGTCATCATTTTGTACATGGACCGTCACTCCAAGGTCATGTTTATCAGTCATCATTACAGACGTGGATCCTTTATGTTGCTCAAATACAAAGATCTGAAATCACAAAAAAAGACATCATGATAAAGATTTCTAATAACCTGGGCAGAGAACCCTAAACATTAGGATTTTTGGGCAGGGAAATAACAGACTTCCATGAAATCTAGTCCTTCAAGAAATTTATTATTTAATATTATGTAACTGCAAAAATTGTAATATTCACTGTAACCTTGTTATAATGAACACCTTTATTATGAATTTCCTGATATAATGAACACATCTCCTACTTATAACAAACATAATGTTTATGTGTTTCATTCGAGCAAATACTTATAAAGTACATAACAACAAACTAAAACAAGCAGCCTCTCGGCGGAGATAGCTCCGCTGTTAGCAATGACATGGCAATTAAAGAATAGAAGATATCATTAGAAAATGAACAAATCTGAGAGAGGTCCACATGTAGTACCTATATGTATAATATATCAAAGCAATTGGACTTGCGGTTTTCAACAAGAAGTCGAAAATATCACTTTTTACCAATAATTACAAAAATATTCACCAAAATTAGAGAATTGAAGATATCATTATGAAATGAACAAATCTGAGAGAGGTCCACATGTAGTACCTATATATGTAATATCAAAGCAATTGAACTTGCGGTTTTCAACAAGAAGTAGAAAATATCACTTTTTACCAAAAATGACAAAAATATTCACCAAAATTAGAAAATTGAAGATATCATCATGAAATTAACAAATCTGAGAGAGGTCTACCCAAGGTACATATACACCAAGTATCAAAGCATTCAGGCTTGTAGTTTTCAAGAAGAAGTCAAAAAAGTAAAACATTGACACGGACGACGACGAAGACAACGAACAATCACTCATATGATATGCTCCGCTCGACAAAGTCGACAGCGGAGCTAAAAAGTGGATATGTTCATACTATGCAGTATTCCTCTGTGCTCAGCTCAGTATTATTCATATTTATACAAATTTTCTCACTCTGTCATAATCGTTTCAAATATAAGATGTTCATTGGCTGGCCATGTTACATATGCAGTGAATTTCTAATAATCTCCAGTGCTTGAAAATATCTTCAATTCCACTGGTAAAACAACCTTTGTTTACATGTTTGTGCTCATTTGTTGTTTGTCAATAAATCAAATAACTTCATGAAGGAAATTTGGTTATAATATTGCTCGA